GTGTATGAGACTTGATAGAATGTATTAATTTGTTGAACATTACTGATTTTAGTGTTCATTTTGGTAATTAAATATTGAATGTTTGAATTGGGTGAAGTTTACTAGTAATCTATATTCATTTTTCTTGGCTTCTAAAGTATAATTTCATTAAGGGTGAGGCTTATAGGTTCAGAAAAAAAACAAGGTTTTAAAATATGACTTCTCTTTTGTCTCCTCTCCCTCCCCCTCCCCTCTCCCTCTTCTGTCCCCTCTCTCTTCTTTTTCTCTCTTCCCCCCTCCCTCCCTCCCTGTTTTTCTTTGTGTTTGTGTTTCCAAAGAAGGATACACAGTGCCTCCTATTTACATTCTGTTCTCTTAAAAGGAAGAAATTCTTGAAAAAATTATGACTTATGCCTGTGATGATTCCACTACACATATTAAATATCTATTAAAAATTAAATTTAAATAGAGAAAACCAGGTTTTCTATTATAAAATAACCATGGAACTGCCAAACTCTAATTGCATATGTCCCTATTTTTGTGGTTAGGTAGAGAATATTTATTGAAAAATAATAATTCATTAATTGCATGCTTTGTCCCCCTCTTTGAGAATTATGGCTCCACTGGTAATTGCACATTTCCAGCAGTGATCCAAAGCATTAGATTTCTGTGGCCCTTAGGCATTACAGCCTTTTATGACTTGTAGACAGCTTCTTAGTATGCTTTTATTGTCACCATTTTCTCCATGATCAGCTCTATCTCTTTTTGATGAATGCATTGGAGTTGTCAACTGAAGTGTATTTGTTATGTAGTCAACGCTAGAAAAGGACATGCCTAGCCCTGGCTGGTTGTTTCAGCAGTTAGAGCATTAGTCTGCGGTCCAAAGAGACCCAGGTTCGGTTCCTGCTGAGGGTGCATGCCTCGGTTGCAGTTTGTCCCTGGCCCTAGTTGGGTCGTGCAGGAGGCAGCCACTCGATGTGTCCCTTTCACGTTGATGTTTCTCTCTCTCTTCTCTCTCTCTCTCTCTCCCTCCCACTCTGTCTGAACAACAGCAACAACAAAATGTCCTCGGGTGAGGGTAAAAAAAAAAAAAAGAAAAGGACATGCCTATAATTCCACTAGGTGTAAGAAGATTTATGAAAATACCACAAAATGCTTAAGTATTCATTACTAGAAAGATAATATATGTTATAACAACTTATCAAAACAGTAGGCCATCGCTTTATTTCTGTCTGGAATAGTGGGGGAAAAAAATTTGTTTACACATGTCTCATTCAGTACTCATTCCATCTCTTTGTATTATAACTCATTTTTTTCCTTGTTGTTTTTGGAAGACAGATATTACTTAGAAAATGGTGATATTGTAGCGGAAAAGAATGTTTTGAGAAAATTGAAAAATAAAACCAACTCAATCACAACAACAACAACAAAAATCCAATTGAAAAAATAGACAAACTGTTCTCCAAAGGAGACATACAGATGGCCAACAGACATATGAAAAGACGCTCGACATTACTAATTATTAGGGAAATACAAATAAAAATCACAATGAGATACCTCCTAACACCAGTTAGATTTTTTATTTTCAAAAATAACATGAGTTGGCAAGAATGTGCACAAAAAGGAACCTTTGTTGGTGAGATTACATACAAACAGATGCAGTCACTATGAAAATGGTATGGGGAGTCCTCAAAAGTCTAAAAATAATATACCATAAACCAGCAATTTCTCTGGTAGATTATTCAAAGCAAACAAGAACACTAATTAGAAAAGATATATGCACCCCTATGTTCATTGCAGCATTATTTACAATAGCCAAGATATGTAAACAACATAGGTTCCCTTCAGATAGATGAATTAATAAAGATGTGATGTGATGTTTGTGTGTGTGTATGTGTGTGTTTCTGTGTGTGTATTATGCAGCAATAAACCAGGATGAAATCTTGCCTTTTGTGACAACATGGATGGATCATGAAGGTATTATGCTAAGTGAAATAAGTAAGTTATGCAGGCAGAAAAATACAAATACTGTATGATTTCATTTATATGTGGAATCTGAAAACAAAACAAAACTAAAAAATAAAACAAAAACAGACTAATAGAAACAGAGACCAAAGTATTAGTTACCAGAAAGGAGGGGGCAGGAGATGGGTGAAAAGTGGAAAAGAGATATAGTCAGTAATATTGTAATAAATTTACAGGATCAAAGAAGATTAGTAGAATTAATGGGGTGATCATACTATAAGGTATAAAAATGTCAAGTTACTATGCAGTACATCTGAAACTAATAATACCAACATACAGTTGTATACCAATTATACTTAAATTAAAAAACATTTTATTTTAATAAAAAAATAGATACATGAAGAATATATTGATAAAACAAAACATTTTTTTAAAAAAGTGAATCAGTTTCTGCTCAACTCATGTGGCTCAGTGGTTGAATGTTGATCCATGTATCCAGAGGTCTCTAGTTCAATTCCCAGTCAGGGCATATGCCTGGGTTGTGGGCCCAATCCCCAGTGGGAGGCATGCAGGAGGTGGCCAATCGATGTTCTTGCTCATTGATGTTTCTATCTATTTCTCCCTCTCCTTTCCTCTCTCTCTAAAAATCAATAAAGAAAAAATAAATGTTTTTAAATAAATAAAAAGTGGATCACTTTCCCATAAAAAATGTGACTTGTTGCCAAAGGTTATCATGGAAACCTTCTTATTTAAAAATAGGCAATAAAATTTGCAGAAGCAGCACAGGATGATGGTAAGAATCTGAGTTTTTTAAAATAGCATGGTGTCACAAAATTTGACTGTTCTGATTTTTATTCCCTTAAACAAACTATGATATTCAGTTGTCCTTATCTTTTATCTGTTTTACACTCCTAGTAAATATATTTTAAAAATTCCATTGCCATTCAAATGAAAAAAAAAATCAAAATATCTAACCTACAGATATTAACTTATTTACTAAATGAAATACGTCTTTTCCACATTACCAAAAAGTTAGGAAATGAAAGTGGCATTTTTTTTATATTTATCTGCCACTTATCACTGTGTATCAGAATTTCTGAGTTCTGTCATTTATTTATCACAAGACAATGACAATCTTCTGTGTTTATAGTAATGTGGAAGAGATATCAAGTTTAAGCGAATGTATTTCCAACACACAAGCAACAGTGCACGTGCTCTGTATTTCCTCAGCCACTGATGACTTCTGATGGCCTGGTGTATTGCACATGGCTCTTATAGACTCCCTTTTGGCAAAATTATTCATTGGCATCAGACTGGCTTTGGAAGGCTGGCTACCTTCTGATGTGCAGAGGATTCTTTTATCATGATCCCATCATTACATTCTAAAAAACTGAGCTAACTCAGTGATTTTCAACCTTTTTCAAATTACTAAAATTCTGAGGCACACCAAAAAATATCATATATTTTGCTGATCTGACAAAAACAGGTATACTTTTGATCCATTCACACCAGATGGCTATTGTTGTATTGGCTGTTGCCTTTTTTTTTTTTTTTTTAATTTGACAATCTAAGGAAAAGAGGTCTGTGCCCCAGACTAAATAGTAAGGTATTGCATGTTTTAAAAATTCTTGCAGCACACTGGTTGAAAATTGCTGAGCTAACTGCTAACCGTGCTTGTGATATGAATAGAGTGAGTATCTGCTTTACATCCTGTAGTTTGTGTTTTGGTCATTTTATTCTTTTTGTTTTCTCTTTTTAGGTTTTTGGTATCAGAAGCTTTTAACATAAACATGGTTTATTAGTTGCAAACTTCTTGCAAATTCTACTAGACTGCAGTCATTCAAATACAGTGTGAATCTACATACCAAGAATCCCTCTGGGACAGCAGTGAGGCAGTAGGTGCAAAAGTGTCGCAGGGGAAGACCTGGGGCAGGTACAGGTTCTTGGATTCTGCTAGATCACATCTCTGCTTTCAGTTGCATCCACCAAAAAACCACCTTCCAGAAGGAAGCACCTTATCTTATTCATCTTTATATCCCTAAAACTCAAAGTAACATATTTAAGGTAATGGGAGTTTGAGATATGGTGACTAAGAGAAATTCCAGTTTTTGTAGAATTTCTAGGAAAGATCCTATTTAGAGATATTTTCTGGAATTATTTTTCTCAGTAGAGAAGCTAATACATTTATTTGTTATTTGTCATTTACCTTCCCAGATCTACAAATAGTTTAAACCATTGTAAGATAATTTTTCTGAAAAATAAGAAATATAGCATTTTGGTCCCTCAATTATTTTAGCATATAAATTTGCTATATATTAATGATTTAGCATATTAGATATAAAAACAGAATACACTTAATATTAAAATTATACTATGAAAGGTAAAATTGTCTTAATGGAATTACAATTTAAACTCTTGGAGTGCTTGATGGGTTACTTTTATAAACATCAATTATCCTGTTATAATTCAAGAAGCCAAGATTTATTGAGCTCTCATATAACAGACAGCATGCAAAGGATTTGAAACTAAATAGATGGCAATTTACTTTTTTATGATGTCTCTAGAGTTAAACAAAAAATACATTTTTTTCATAGAAGTATTTTTTTTTTTTAATGCTTAAAGGCAAATGTATTCAGTTCCTTTCCATGCAGCACATAATAAGGTATCTATGTGCTTGTTTTTCCTTTTCCAAATCAAATTTGGGACAACCTTTGTGGATCCACTCATCCTCCACAGTGAGTCATCTTGTACTATGTGCTAGGATCTTATTTATGGGGGAAAAGAACATTCTTGCTGACACAGATTGGCAAGCGGGGAGTGTTCTGGGAGGAGAGCTAATGTTTATCGTCTCTTCCATCCTTGTCATGTGGCTCACAGTAGGGTCTTATCAGTTTGTACCAACAGATGCCTATGGAGCCATTCCGATGTGCTACAGCAGAGAGGACGGCACAAAAGACAAGGAGGAGAAGGAAGAGGAGATTCGATGTCCTATGATGGAGTGAAGAGGCTGGTCGAGGTGGAAAAAAAACAGGACTAATAGAAGTGAAGTCGTCTCCTTAGGATGCCATGCCAAGCAGGAAGCCTCCGAAAAATCCACCCGTCACTAGAACGTTCTCCTTCACAACTGACACCATCGCCTCAGCTTTGCTTTTCCTCTCTGTAGATATGTGGTTGCTCTTATGCGTCTTCAGCTGTTCCTTGGCTTTCATCATGTCCTTCTCGACTCGCTGCCAGTCCACCTTGATGTACCCAGTATGGTTTACAATCTGAAGGAGAACAAATCCTCCTCCCACAGCTGTTGCAGCCAACTTTCCCACCTTCTGGACTATGACACCCGCACACCAGCCAGTGACACCTCCGATTAACAGCTGGGTTCCCACACTATGCTTTTCAGCTGCGGGCCCAGATTCCTGCCCGAACAGCTTGCACCACCACGGCTGCTTTTTAGCAAATTCTGCAAGGTCCAGTGACTTAAAATGTTCTTGCATGGACGCGGCCATTTCAGAGAGCTGGTCTCGCCATAACACACATGGAGGCTTGCACCGTAGGCCTGGGAGGGGCCGCCGTCTAGCTTCCGGCCTGTGGGGCTTCCGGCCTGTGGGGCTTCCGGCACATGGATCAGGTGTTCCCATTCCTGAGGCCCCAGCGGAGGAGGGTGGGCTGGGCTCAGGGCAGTCACTCCCTACCCGCCCCCGGTGTCCTAATTTTTTGTTGTTGTTAATCCTCACACAAAGATTTTATTTCCCATTGATTTTTAGGCAGAGTGGAAAGGAGGGGGAGAGAGGGTGAGACAGAGAGACATCAATGTGAGGGAGACACATGCGCCTCATTTTCTTAGTTATGCTTTCAAATGGATACGATTCTTGTTATTGATTTTTCTTAATTGATTTTAATTTTTCCCTGGGACCCCAAATTGGCTAAGAGAAGAAAAACAGTATTCATCAACCAATGGTTTTAGTCATGATGCAGTTTTTCTATTCTTATTTTATATTGTTGAACCTTATAATTTACAGAACAAACAATGCTGAAGATGTTCAGGAGAAATGTATGCTTTGTGCTTAACAAAGAAAAAGTCAGTGAGGTGTGCTCCAAAAAGGTAAAAATATTTTGAGAAAAGAAATAGTATTTTGTTCTCTAACAGAATCTAATTGATTAACATTAATTACAATCTTTTGCATTAGCTTACTCTATCAAAGTCATTCTTATCCTATTCTGCTAATATAAAAATGCTACAACTTTTATATAATTTTCTTTAAAGAGGTTACATATCTTACTTTAGACTTGGAAAATAAAAGAATAACATATCAATAAATATTTTTAAAACAAGAATCATCCTTTCTTTTATATTTTTCAGAGAAGTAGAGGTCAATTGTATACTGAAATGTTTTTATGGATCAGAAAGCAACCTGAGAACCTTGAAGCTATAACGGGATACATAAAATGAACATGAATATCTTTAATGTATAACTGCCTTCAAGTTGTGACTATCTTCATCACCAACGAGTTTTTGGAATTTTTCATTTATAACTACATCCTAATCCCCTGTTTCTTGTACTTGAAAAATATAGTTATCACTTTTAAAGGGAAAAAATAATAAACTCACAATATTAATATAAAATATTTTAATTACAATGGTACTTAAAATAGTAGAAAAATATCAACAAAGTCCCTTATGCTTATAGCTCTTGCAAAATCATAAAACCAAACAATCTTACAAATTAAAAATATAAACTATAAAAACAATAAAATTCAAATTAACAATATCAATTTTGTTTGACAAACTATGTTTTGCTGGAACTAAATTGCCTTTCATGATGTGAGTAGCAGCTTCTTAGGCATAGGCTCTTCCAAATTGTCATAAAATTTTAATTTCAAACTACACAAGAATTTTTATGTGTAAAACAGTGAAATCATTTATTGTTCTCTTGGTATGAACTGTGTTATTGTGTCCACCCCACATTAGCCTGTGACAAAGTAGCACTCTTGCCAACTCAATCACATAATAAACACAAATGTAGCCACTCAGCTAGACTGATATTTGGTCTTAGGCATCCAGATTATCCAACATACACTTAAAATCGTGTTTTGGGTTTTATTATTGACAACTAAAGAATCTCTAAGAATATGTTTGAAAAATCTCAGAAAGCCTCGGAACTCAATGCAAGATTATTAAATCAGTTATAAACAAAATACAGAAAAAAGTACTTTAGAAAATGATCCCTATCAGACTAAATACATGTCAATAAACAATGTTATAAAAATAAAATAAAATAAAATGTAAACACAAAATGGAAAATTCTCCAAACATAAAGTTAGGATATCAAAATAAAAGAAACATGTAGGAAAAAATATATAACAAAATAAGCAAACTGAATTTATAAAAAACAAAACCTATTAAATAGCAGTTATAATGCAGGTCCTTTTATTATTATTGTTTTTAAAAAGGAAATAAAAACTCTGCTCATTTACAGATCATGCTGAAAGCCAGGTGGTCTCAAATAGAAGGTAGGCTGGGGTTTGGCTCAAATGCACAATAACTAGTGCTCAGAGAAGCCTATGCTACTTCTAATCAATTCAGAATTCAAAACAAATTAAAGTGGGAAAAAAAGGTCAATTGTGTTAAACATTATTTTTTGGAGATTTATTTTTGTTTGGCAGCCAAGACTTTGTCCTTAGATGTGGAGATAGAGTCTTTCTGGTGTTCAAAGCAGGAGGGTTATCTCTGTAGTAGCCCACACTGGTGTTTTCCTTCTGTGGCTACAGGATTCAGTTATGGTTTAATCAGAATTTTTGTAGTAATATCAGATTCACCAGAGTTCAGCCAGATCGTTTAAAAAATTGTTTTTTTCAAAATGTAAATATCAATTTTATATTGAATTGATATTATAGTTTAAAGCAAATTCAATTTCAAATATTTCACAGGACAAGTCTAGTTCTGTGAAACTGGGTTTTAAGTGGTATGAAAGGTAAAGTGATAATGGGAACTTATGAGATGTGTTTTCTAAATGTGCAAACTTTTAAAAAAGATTTGTTTACTTGTTTAAATAAATGTTCCATTTGTAATAATAAAACAATAACCATAATAATGCAATATAACTATCATTTTTGTGTTTCCTCCTCATGTGCTTAAATTGACATAATCTGTCTTTTGTATTCTTCTGTACCTATGAACAATATACCATAAGCAGTTTCCATGTTGCTATTTAGCATTATAATCAGAACTAAAACTAATTTTTCTCATTAAACTTTATTATAAAAATACTAGATTATAAGAGAAGTAAAAAAAAACATATATATATATATATATAGAAAGGCTAAACAGAAGCCCCAAATCCAGCCACCCAGATATCATTGTGAACATTTTTATTTACAGGTTTTAGAATTCCTTTTTCTAAAATATATGTGAATATGTACATATAAGAAATTCTGTTGGTTTTCCCCAAACATCCCCTAAACACTCATTAACTCATACACATGATATACTTTTGAAAGCACCTGTCATGCTCTGCCTGAGAACTTTCTTTCCCAGGATTCAGTCTTCTCCAATAATATGGTAATTAGAAAATGAGTTCAGACTCCCTGAAATACAGGTGGAATAACTAAGATATTGTGGTAGCCCACTTCTATGAGACATGGGAGCTCACTGGGTCTCTTCTTACCCAATCCTCTTTTTCATTTTTTTCTTTCTTTTTTTCATAGACCAGTACTGTGATCTGAAGGCTCTTCCTTCTAACTCTAGTGCCTCTCCTTTATTCTTCACAGGTGTTTTCCCAGTAAATCTATTTTATATGTAATCCTTTCTTTGCTGCTTTTTAAAAATCCAAACAAACCAAAGTAGTGTCAGGTGTGGTTTGAGAAAACAAGAGGTAAAATGGAGTTTGGGGATTGGCCAACTGATCATCAAATGGGCAAAGAGGGTGCCATCAGCATAGCGAAAAATCCATTGAACTATAAGCTGTAGCTGCCACGAGAGAACTTTAGACTCCAGGTGAAAAAATTATTCTCTATATTACACAGAGTAATTAATGATCATAACCAGGAGGTGGTAGAGTTGCTTTTACACAAATGGAGCAGGTAGAAGTATATATGGTACCTGGGTGATCCATATGTGCTCCTCAGTACTCTCCTGCCCATACTGAATAGACATTTGTGTCAACTAAGATCCAAGAATTGCCATGATTGCCAAAGGCTTGGGCCCTCAGGAAGGAAGGTTTGGGTCACAACAAAAGATTAGTCATGAAAACCCAACAAGATGATAGCTGAAGGTAAGGGGAGTTTAGAATGGATAATGGAGGAGAGGATGAGTATGACTTTTGACTCTGAGACCAATGGAGTAGTGAGTAATGTTTCAGCAATCTTCTCTTCTAAGTTTCCCTTCAAGAAAGGAGGGCCATGGCCACCATGGTGGAGCTATTCTTTGAACCTGCATTGAAAATTAGATTTGTGCAGTGAAAGGGGTAGACTGTAGAAAATATATGGTTGAGATCTTATGCTGCAGGGATCACAGTTGATTTACAATCCCAACTGCTGCCTTTGGCAATATCTAGTATTCCCAATTGACCTGACACTCTTACAAATGTACTGCTACTTGAGTTTCTTCCTGTTGAATTCTTTTTTCCCCCCCTCTCCTTCCACAGGTGTCTTACCTGCACTGTATTCTAAATGCTCTCCCTGCCTACTCTTTATTCCTTTTTGTATCCTTCGTAGGTATTTCCCCAATACATTTATCATTCATCTAATCTGAACTTGGTGTTTGCTTCTCAACGTACTCAAACTAATACAGACATGTTCCACACCCTCTCCCAGAGGCTCCCAGGAGGAACTGAGCCCAGGTACCCACAGTAATTATTAACCTGCACATTAACATATTCTATTTTGAATACTTTTCATCCCACATTTCATATCCTTATTCCTCTACCAGTCCTCCTGAGATTAAATTGATGTGGGTGGTTTTAAAATAAATCCACCCAGCCTTGATACTAATTTCAAGGGGTGGAGCATAATTCCTCTCCCCTTAAGTGTGACTGGAATTAATAACCCAGGTCTAATGATAGCAGAAACGACGGTATATTTTGCTAAAAGCCAGCAAGGGAAATAAGGCCTCCAGCCACCATCTATGTTTGTGAGCTCCTTGGTAGCAGATCCTCTGTCTCAGTTAAGTCCTTAGATGATGACCAGGCATCTTGACTGCAACCTCAGGAGATATCCTGATTCAGAACTGTTCAATTAAGCCATTGTTGTACTCCCAACTCTCAGAAACAGAAAGATAATAAACATTTGCTATTTTAAGATGGTGTGTTTTAGTAATTTGTTACACAAGAGATAAATAATACACCCTTAAATTTACCATCTCTACTCAAATCCTTTTCTCAGGATCAGCTTCTGCAGGAATACACACACATATGCAGACACATATATCTATATAGTTTAATATAGATAATATTCTGGGTATATGTAGAGTTCTCATAATACACACATGAATCATTTAGTAATAGGGTTTATCTCTATCATTAACATATTTTTAATCGTTTTCAAAAATATCTATGTATATAGCATCATTATATTCAATTATTTGAATGTCTCATAATGTATTTAAGCATTATCCCCTTTTTGATGAGAAATTGAAAATGTT